GTGCTGCAGAACAGAGATTTTTCCCTAGCAGCATTCGGCCGGACCGTGCATGAGTGGTGTCATCTTGCAGCATTTGCACTTTTATACGGTCACGCAGTTCAGCTCCCGCCAGTTCCTTGAAACCGCTTCAGAATCTAGAAGACAATGAAAAAAGACTCCAAAGCGGGGAGGAGGGTGGGTAGTGGAGCACCCACAGGGACACACATCTCGAAGAATGACAGTTACTGCACCCAGGTGAGTAACTTCACTTTCTTTTTCGACTGATGTCCCCGAGGGTGCTCCACTGTAGGTGACTACGCAGCAGGACCCCGATGTAGTAGGAAGGTGGAACTCGGAGTCTCTATTTGTGTACTGATGAGAGTACTACTGAGGTATCTGAGAGCTGTCTCCACTGAATTGCGTAATGTTTTACAAACGTGTCATGTGATGACTAGTTGGCTGTTCTACAAATGTCTTTAAAGGAAACACCCCTGAGAAAGGTTGTTGACGCCACCATCACTCTAGTGGAATGGGCCCTAGGTTGTGTTGAAAGAGGTACGCATCTTGCAGCGTAACACTCGGTTATACAAGCAGTTATTTTTGAGATGCGATATTGGCTGTCCTTTCGATTACTTGGCTAAGAAACAATGAGTCGGTCTGATTTTCTGAAGGATTTCGTGTGTTCTATATAAAAAGAGAGTGCTCTACAGACATCGAGCATGTGGAGATGCACTTCACACAACGAAGCACGTGGTTTCAGATAGAAGGATGTTAGAATTCCTGGCTCATTGATATGAAAGGCCGAACAGACCTTGGGGGATGAATGCTGGGTGGAGCCTTAAAACTACTCCATTCTTACTGAAAATGGTATATGGTGGCATTGCCATAACTCACTGACCCCTGCATGCTGATGTGATGGCGAGGAGGAAAACTACCTTCATAGTCAGTATATGTAGCGGTATAGTAGACAACGGTTCGAATGGTGGTGTGGTTAGAGCCTCAAGTACTATATCTAGGTTCCATACTGGAAGAATGGGTTTGCAAGGGGGACTTAAATTCATAAGACCCTTCATGAATCTCTTGGTAATTGGGTGGGCGAACAGGGAGGTGTCTTCAACAGGCTGTCTGAAAGCAGAAATCGCCGCAAAGTGCACCCTGAGAAAAGGTAAAGTCAATCCTGTGTGTTTTAGGTACAGCAAGTAGTCAAGGATGACGGGAAGGGGAGCTGACTGTCAGAGCAGATGCTGTGTGGAACACCACATGACAAACCTGCGCCATTTTGAAAGGTAAGTGGTTCTGGTCATTTGTCTTCTGCTGTGGATTAGTATCTCTCTGACCTGTGTAGAGCAGAAGGGTTCGGAGGGATTGAGCCAAGTGCAAGGTGAGCTGCAAGGTGTGTATCTGGGGGGTGTCACAGTGACCCTTGGTTCTGGGTGAGGAGGTTTGGGAGAGTTGGAAGCGGGTAAGGTCTGCATGGTGACATGCGTTGAAGGAAGGGGAACCAATGTTGACGCGCCCACGCTGGTGCTATTAGTGTGACGGTGGCCCTGTCCGTTTTGACTTTTTGCAGTACTTTGGGAATGAGACCCGTGGGTGGAAAGGCATACAGGAGAGGCTCGTTCCAATCAATAAACGCATCACCCAGAGAGCCGGGACCAAGACCAGCCATGGAGCAGTAGTCGTGGCATTTCTTGTTGTGACAGGTGGCAAAAAGATCTATGAGGGGAGTACCCCAATGTTGGAAGAGGAGGTGGAGGACTCCATCATGAAGCTCCTATTTGTGATCCGGTGCAAAGTGCTTGCTCAGGAAAACCACCACAACGTTCATGCTAGGGAAAAATCTCCGTTCCGCGGTACCAGGGCAAGCCCAGCACCCACAGGGATAACACTAGAAGAAGAACCAGGCTGCTGCAGAGGGACTGCATTTGATAGGAGTTAAAAAGAAAACAGAGGAATGAGTGCTTTCTAGTACCCTGCTGACCTTACCCCCAAAAACTAAGATAAGAGATGGACCAATATGCTAAATGTTATGGGACACAGTATGCTCCAATTTATCTGGCCTGGGGGACACCCACAACTTTCAGATAACGGCTAAACAGAAGTGCTATTCTGATCTACAGTTCTACTACTACATGTAGTCCTGTTAGTCACTTGCTAATAATGTCTCAATTAGCTTCCTTGAGCCAATCGGCTTCCACTTTTGCATAATACATAAAACGCCCTTTGTTTATTAAAACACCAAAAATTAAAGTTATATTTACAGTTGCTTTACATACAATTTTAGCATCAATTCTATTTGTAGGACGTTAAGTAAATTTGTCTTTTTTTTTTTTTTTTTTTAAAAAAAACAAAAAGGATGAAATTCACCCAAGGGTTCTAAAA